TCTAGACTTCTTATTTTCCTCTGTATTGGAAGTGGTGGGGGCGCCAAGGTACACAGTTTGCCTAGGGCACCAATTCCCCTTGGACCGGCCCTGCTCAGGCCTTGACAGTAAGACTCAGCGATGCAAGATCCTGGCAGGGGATGGGATTTAGGCTTATGAGCCAAGATTTTCAAAAAGCGACCAATGGTTTTAGGTAATTTGGGATGTCCAGTTTTTTAACAGGACCAGTGATTTGGGGGCTCCATTGCAGGCGCCTTTGAAAGAGCTTGATTTTCAGACAGGGTTGAGCACCCAGCCTCTAAAAGCTCATTCTCTTTATGATGCTTCTCTGTGGGCACCTGGACATGAATCCACCTCCTTGATGAGGAACTTAACAGTGGGAGTCACTGTTTATAATTGCCTAGGTTTGTCCAGGAAGCCTAAGCTTACACTTTGGCTTAGTCTTCCTCTGCTTGGCCAAAAACACCCACATTTTAGGTGTGACGTCACCTAAGTGGGGCCGCTTAGAGACTGGGTAGGCTCTTGCCTGAAGTACCTTAGCTATGGCTTTGCAGGATGTGTGTTTCTGTGACACGCTGTCTGGGCTCCAAGTCCTATGCTTGAGTTTCAAGACTTTCCTTTCCCCTTATGATAGACTCCCCAAGGGGAAAAAAAAGCATCAGTTTGCTGGTTCTTCTATTTGCATCTTTTTGTTTTCTCTCTCTTACCTGTGCCCTGGTTTTCTTCACCATTATTTTAGCTGCTGGGACATGAATGATAACACAGCCTTGTGGTGGGTCATCAAGGGTCCTGTGGTCGGATCAATAATGGTAAGTGCCATTTTGGAGGAGATCTTTCTCCAGGTTCCATATATAAAATAGAACTGAATGTTAGCTAAGGACACGTCAAATTATCATATAGCCAGGGAAGAGGTATTTTTTCCATACCTAAAGAAACTGAAAAGGATATGCTGTTCTTCACCCTACATGTGCCCAGCTAGCCCTCTTCCCAAGCTTTGCAAACACCTTTGTATCAGTGTCTATATTCTATCTGCAAATAGTCAGCCATGTACATCTCCTTTAGAAATAAATACTCACTGGAACAAGTTAGTAGAAGGGAAGTGGTGAATCCTCCATCTCTTCATGCCTCAAAGTCCAGACTCGACATCTTGCTGGAACATTTAATTTAATTAAACCTGAATTACTGGGCTCTGTATGGAGGAAACTGCATGAACTGAGATGGCCTGTGATATGCGGGTCAGACCCATCGTCCCGAGGTCACTGGTACTGTTGGATGCTGTAACAACTCTCCTCCACTCTGCCCTGTGCTTGGCTGATATACAGGAGGTCAGACAAAATGATCTACTGGTCAGTTTTGGCCTTAAGTTGTCAAATTAACAGGAGCCATATCCGAAGCCAGGATATGGGGTTAAACTACTTGCTGCCCTTGTCCGATGTCTCTTCTGGGATCCAGGTATGTGGAAACACATTCAGAGAATAAGGCAGACCCAAAATAATAATGAATGCAAAGGTGTATAAAATAAAACCAAAGGGTCATGCTGTCACTCTGAGGGTTTCACTTTAGGGGAGAGGTGGTTAGCTGTGTTGGTTTGGAGTCAGGCAGAAAGCAGGGCAGGGTGGCACCTTAGAGACAAGCTGGTCCAGAAAGGCATGAGCTTGCATAGGCAACAGCTTCATCAGATGCTAGGGGGATGGGGTAGTTACAGTCCTCCCACCCTCCTCCCTTGGGGTTTTCAACAGAGAGAATCCTGATTCGTGGCCAAGGCATCCAATGATGGGCACTGCTGAGGTGATGCACTGAGTAATGCTGGTTGCAATATTTCCACCACATTTATTTGGGTCCAAAAAATGCCTATTCATCAAAATGGATACATTTCTTCAAAATGGTTCAATTTTGAAGGATATTAAAAAAAAAAAAAACTTCAGTGGAAAAGATACATTTGAAAGTTGTCCATGTTTATTTTGTTTCATGGTTGTTTTTCCCCATGAAAAACTATTTGTTTTGGCATAAATAAAATTGTGTTTCTTGGTCAACTCAGTGTTGCATCAGTGCAGCCCCCCGGGGCTATAGCCAACAGCCCTCTCACAAACACCCCTCTGCCCTTTGGAAATTATAATCATTTCTTCTTTAATAACCATTTTGCACCACTATACCCTTGCCTGAGATGGGACCACTGGGGTGGCCTCTCCTGCCTACATGTTTAAGTGGACTTAATATTGCTGTAGGGCACGTGTGATAAAGAAAACCCACCTACATTCCCCCACATCACGTTTTTCTTCACACACCCAGAGCCTAATTCTGCGGTGCTGAGTGCATGAAGTAAATAGGAGCTGAAACTGCTCAGTGGAAAGACTAAGCCCTTGCCAACCAAGTATTGCCTGTCTTTCACTTGCAGCAGTTGATGATGATTAATGCTTACCACGGTAACTGTGTAGACAAGCCTAAAGAAAGCTTGTACTTATCATGCCTAGTCACGGGGCAATAAAAAAAGTTATGTCCATAGCCTAAGACCTTTACAAGCCTCCCCAAGCCAGTTCTTTGGGGCCCCAGCTGCTCAGATGGGAAGGAGTAAGGTAGCAAATCCAGCTGGTCTCTGCCATCTTTGCCCTATTATACATTAGAAGTACAGCATGGTTAGTAGCAGTCTCCCCATAAATCCAGATAGCCTTTCACTTCTATTTTTTTTTCTCCTCCCAGATAAACTTTGTTCTCTTCATTGGCATAATTGTTATACTCGTGCAGAAACTCCAGTCGCCTGATATTGGGGGCAATGAATCCAGCATTTACTTGTAAGTACATATAAAGCTGTAATTTGATTCTGATGTCTAATATACACATAGGAAAAAAAAAATAGAAGTGAAAGGCTATCTGGATT